CAATGAGCTTCTCGGAGACACCGCAGCCTCTTCTAGAACAACTTTAGTGTTTGGTGCTGAGAATTGATGTCCAGCAGGCGTATCAAAAATAGATTAGCCAGTGTCGGCAGGAATGTTCTACCTATTTGGATCAGCTGCAGGTGGTGTCCATTTCCTCACCCTCTGTTCAAGCTCCTGTTCCTGCTGCTCTGGCTTCCACTGTCCCTCCAGGGGAGGGCAGTCCTTCGAAACTCCAGCTGCCTCCACCACCTCACTCTTCTGGTGATCCTAAAGCTTGTTGGGGCTTCATCAATCAGTGCTTGATTCACTTCGAATTAGTGGGCCACCATTTTCCTACTGATCATTCCAAAGTGACATGTATGATATCACTCCTTTCTGGAGATGCGCTGGCCTAGGCCTTTTCACTGTGGGAGCGTCAAGATTCTACTGTTTCCAGTCTCTCTGCCTTCCTGCAATCTTTCTGCGAAACCTTTGATGTGCCTGGCAGGTCCTCATTAGCTTCTGGAGCTCTTCTTCGACTTTGTCAAGGAAACATGACTATTGGTCAATATGCAGTTCAGAACTGGCAGCTTTGGAAATGGCATGGAATAATGAGGCCCTTAGTGCAACCTTTGGCAGGTCTAATGGCATATATTAAAGATGAACTACCTGGCAGAACCATACCTACCGCCCTAGATGACTTGATTGCCCTTAACATCCAAATCAATCTCCACTTCCAGATCTGGAAAAAGCTGGTCCACGTTGCCACCCACTCTATTATTTAGCTTCTGTTTTCCAGAAAGCTCCTGAACAACCTATCTCTGCAGTTATATTGGCATCTGAAGAACCTATGCAATACAGCCAGACACGTCTCACACCACGAGCGGTCACATCATTTGAGACTAGGCCTATGTCTTTACTACGGGGCTGAAAATCATATAAAAATGTCCTGTCCATCGGGGAAACTTTTGGGTCTAGGTCACTCACAGGGTTGTGATGTACATCAGAATCTGAATTCAGCCACTTTCCCTCGCTTTATCATACCTGTCTCCCTTTATTGGGCCCTGAACTCGTATCAAGTTTCTGTATATGTTGACTCTGGTATGGATAGTGGGGTGGTCCCCACAACATATTTTTTTTTGTGGTGCACCCCTTAAAAATCCATATCAGACCTGAAAAGCCTGGTAGGAATTTTGAGGGGAACTCCACGCTGATTTCTTTTCTTTCATGCTTTCTTCTTTAATTTCTTTACGCTATCGCTTTGTTTACATTCACCTGTTAGCCAGGAATCCCCAGCAGACAGTTGAAGGTGCCGAGTGGGGAGAAGTCTCTAGTTGTCAGGACGTCAGCAGGTACTGGTTTTATAACAGCTAAATTAACCCCTTTGTGCTACATTAACAGCCAATGGCAGTTATTTAATCTCTTTGTGCTGCATTAGCAGCCAGTGAGAGTGTCTATTAACCCCTTCATGCTCCAATAGGATGGTGTTAATTAACACTGCCATTGGCCACTGCTGCATTAGTGAACAGTGGTGGTGTTAATTAACCCCTGCCACTGGCCACTAATGCAGCATGAAAGAGCTATTTGACACGTCCATTGACCACAAGTTTCAATAGCACTAGAACAGACCATCAGTGAAGGTTAAGAGGCAATGAAGGGGGGTTAAATAGCATAACGCCACTGACCACCAATTTTTTTGTGCAAACTGGCAGCAATGCAGGTGCTTAATATTGAGAAATCTGGGACCAATGCTGGGGGTTATTATTGCAGAAAGTTGGACCAATGCTGAGAGTTTTTATTGCTGAAAGTTGAACCAATGAAGGGGGTTATTATTGCAGAGACTGACACCAATGCTGGGAGTTATTATTTCAACCATTAACATCAATCCTGTGGGGTATCCTGTGGGTTAGTGCCTGGACAACTTAATTTATATTGTTTTAAATACTTGAAAAAAACACTGACTTATTTATAATGAACATGGAGGACGGGTTCGCAATTTGCCATTTTTGCTCTGAACACTGGATGATTTTGTCCTGGCACTGCCTAAATGGAAGAAAATTTTTCATGACCTTGTCTTTATATTAGGCCCATATTTTAAGGTGACAGTCTTGGTGACAGAGGGTGGAGTAGAAACATGTACTGAGGGTGTGTGTTACCACAAGAAGATACCTAATTCGCTCTGGTAAAAGAGGTTTTGGATACTTTATTTGGAATTGTTATATAAAGATTATTTGAAATGTATTAACTTATGTAGAGCTACCCCAATAGGGGCCACTGGTATTAACTGGTTCTTCCCTAAAAGTACAGCGGCTGCCCACCACCGCAAGCACCAGTCCATTCACACCAACTCCAATAACAGAGTCTATGGGAAGTCTTTTTAAGGTTTATTGCTTGAAGAAACTTTAACAAGAGAGTGGTTTAGGGTCACAGGATACTCAAAACAATCAATAGAAATAATAGTGGACAAATCTCTCTCTAATCTTCCAACAGCAGCTTTCTGGAGGTAACAGGGAATGGCCAGTATATCAAGGACCCTACAGCAGCTGTCCATATAGCAACCTCTAGGACTTAGTTCCCTTACAGCACAGGCACACCCAAAGTCCACAGCAAGATCTTTACTCACAATGTACCAGAATATGTGTGCCACCTAGTATCCACAGGTAGATCCACTATGAGGAAGATCAAAGATCCTTCTTCAGATCTGGGACTTCAGGACAGTGCCCTCTAGCAAATACCTCTCTCTTTAAGGCTGTAGCCCCCCAGGAGACTGGAACTCACCATAGAGAGGAAAGACACTCACCCAGCGCTTTCCAAACATTTATCAATTCCCAACCACCTTCTGGATGCCTCCATCCAGGAATTGGCTGGGGCATGATAAAATATCCATGCTGGTCATCTGCATCTCCCTGCTCTATATTTTGGAAGCTTCTTTCAGAAACAGGTGGGGGAGGCACCCAGCTTAGGAAAACTTGAACAGACAAAAACAGTCAATCACTGCTCCACTCACTACAGTGAAGCCAAAAAATAAATTTACCTAGCAGGCTAACTAAAGGAGGGTGTTACATTTAAATTGTACAAAAAATGGTATTTTATTCATAGTTGACTGGTTTGCACGATTAACATTTTTTAACGCACCTTTTACACGCCCACTTTTGCACTTTAAGTAATTTTAGGCACTACCCTCATTCTTTGATTGAATAGTTGGAATTATTTGTATCTGAGAAGAGGAGAAGCCTAAAGCACTGACAGGGGACCCCAGAAGAGGAGGTGCAGAGCCAATCTGTGCAATACCTTTAAGTATTTATGACATGTTTGTTATTAAACAAAAAAAACTGAGCCTTTATAAAACTCTTAGGTCCACTATTTGCTCAAAAATCAGCTCAGCTGCTGCAAACTGAAGGTATAAATCTGTGCACCCTGTGTCAGCACAGATGGCTATCTCCTGCAGTCTAAAGTACCCCTGCCTTGTGAGAAATACACCCATCCATTCAGCAATGCTCCCTACTTCAACATTTATCTGCTTTTCCCTGATTGCACACTGTTGGCCTTATCCAATACAAAGGTTATATACAGAGGCGGACTGACAACTCATGGGGCCCCCGGACAATAGGGGATCATGGGGCCCCTGTGTCCTTGCCCAAACTCAAAAAAGCCTATGAAAAAGGTACCAGGGGCATCTCATGGGGTCCCCTACTGACCTCGGGCCCTCGGGCAGTGCCCGAGTTTCCAATCAGTCAGTCCGCCCCTGGTTATATACTATACTAGAAAATGAAGATGTGACATCTGATTGGTTTCTGAATGTGATACATTGCCCTCTTGCATTCTACTGTACAAGAGAGCTCAGAAAGGAGAAAAGTGAAGCAGCATAAGGCGACAATCAAATGGTTTACAGTGCAAAAAGCATGCTGATAAGAAGAGAGGGAGGAGTGACAGATAGATGAGCTCATCAGTGCACTGCTTATTCTTTCACTCTCCAATCACAGGGTGGGTGGCAGAACTGTGCTGTGGCAGAGCTGTGTAAATTTTGGGACTGGATAAACAGAAATATACATCCTTTCACAAATAAAACAGCTCCCATATATGTATTGCATCTGTGTATTTGCCTGGTGCTCGACCTTACATTAAAAAATAAATTGAGTACCCCAAGTCCATTCTTTTAGAATGATTTATTGAAGGCTTCTGGAAAGTTCAGATTTTGGTAACACAGAACAGAATAAAAATTCCCCAAGATTTTGAAAGAAAAAAAATAAGAATATTTCTGTGACAGACAACATTTTACCAGGGTTGGAAAACAACAGCTTCATCCTAGTGCAATGATTTTATTTTCCAAATTATTCAGTACACTTTGTAACTTTTAGATTTGGGAAGCACTGCCAAGTGAAGAAACTTATAGGAATTTATTTAATAACAGTTCAAAGTGCAAAGGTATGCAGTAACCCATGGCAATAATTTTAACTAATTTTAGCAGGGGTATAACTGTGTGATAGGTCCACTAGCACAAACATTAAGGGGAGTCCTGCTTCTTTACTCTACTCTTAAAATAAATTCCGCTAGTGATATCTGTTACTATTTACCAAACATATAGTGGTTGCATCCATGCATGCATGCATTCAATTTATCCAGATGTACTTGTAAAATGCTATTGATACCTACATTAAATATTATGTAGCCTGGGTTACCAAACTTTATGTGCACTCAGTTTATTCAAAACTGATTGTCAAATGCTAATGCTACTTATAAATTATTGCACGGTGTTCGGACCACAGTGCTGCTGAGCTCCATTGCAGTTGTATGGTTTCTATGGCTATAGTTGCATCCCTCTATTGCTTACAGACTAGGATGGTGTGTTTGGTGGCAATGATGGGTTACTAAGCACAGTTGCCTTTTTCACTGTTACTGAATAAATCCAATTATGTAATTGCATATCATAGTATACCTCAGCATTTCTTTATTTTAACAATTATTTGCGTTACATTGCACAATATGAGGCTGCTGTTCTCTAAGATCAGTTTTGGTGGCTCTCAGTTTTTTCGGGAGGCTGAGGTAGTTGTTGATACTATCTTCAAACTTGAGTTATTGCCACCACTGCCAAATCCAGTTGGTTTCAGGTTGCTTGCACTGAAGTTTCCACCACCAATGGCTTGTCCACCACCAATACTTCCGTAACCACCTCCAACTCCATAGCCGTGGCCTGCTCCACTGCTGGAACCATAGGCTGAGCTCACTACAGCTGTCAGAAGAAAAGATCAGTTGGTTTTACATACATGTTATATATTTTTTCACCTCTAAATAATAATACAATTAATAGTGAAACTTACATATGCTCACTGGGCCAACACCTTCTCCAGCCAACCTGTATAAAAAGAATACATAATTATGACACTAAATCAAAGTATATAGTAGTGATTCAACAGTTGCTTTGTTCTAAGGATTCATTGACCATACCAGAACATAGATGTTTGCTTAACAAAATTAATATACTAAAAATGAATTCCAAGCTTTAACCCAACTGTCTGTATAGGGAACACAGGTTGGTAGAGCCAGCAAGATTAACAAAATACATTACCACCACCAATTTATGAGATTACGAGTTAGACTATGAGTTTAGAGAGTACATTGGGCATCTTCCGAATTCGACTATCCAAACTATGACATTGCACTTTTTTTAACCAATCAGCTGTGGGTCATGTCAATCCCTGAACCATAGCAAGGGGTGGGATGCTGATGTGAGCATCCTGCTCTTATATGGACATATGACCATATTTAGCCAGTTGCATTTACTAAATATTGGAATTCATTCATATAAATTAAGTTTTCAGTACCTGCTCTCCTCTCCTTCTTCCAACAGTTTCCTGTAGGTGGCAATCTCAATGTCCAGAGCCAGTTTGACATTCATCAGCTCCTGGTAGTCTTTCAGTTGGCGAGCCATGTCCTGCTTGGCCTTCTGCAGAGCATCTTCTAGTCCTGTAAGCTTTTGCTTGGCATCTTTTAGTGCAAGCTCACCACGCTGTTCAGCATCAGCAATTGAAGTCTGTAGTTTGGCACACTGAGAGTATAAATAAAGAAGATTAGAAAAAGGCCCCTTTTAATAAGACAAACATAAAAACATCAATATCTGTTTGAAATATGAAATGTTGAAATCTTCAATGCCTATAAGTTAAACACCCTTGTGCATGGGCCTCAGGCACAATCTAATCTAAAAACTGTAAACGTTGGCATGTTTTTTCCAGGGAAATTCTGAGATAATAATAGTTTTCATAAACCCAGTGACAGAATAATAAATACTCTTCTCCCAGTGAGTGTTTTTACATCTGTCAGTTTTATAAAAGATATAGATTTGTAAAGAAGTACCTGTTTCTTCACGTTGTCAATTTCAGAGCGAAGTCTATTTATCAAGCGATTCAGTTCAGCAATTTCAGTTTTTGTGTTTTTCAGATCATCTCCGTGTTTTCCAGCAGAGACCTGGAGCTCCTCATACTGCAGACATAACAGAAAAAATATAGTACTGTTACTGTGGAAATGCAACTAGTAAAACCTATAGGAAAATTGATGGATGACATTTTTAGGTACAATATGGACATAGCTCCACAAGTTGATCTTATTATTATTATTATTATACAGGATTTATATAGCGCCAACAGTTTGCGCAGTGCTTTACAATATAATGGGAGACAGTACAATTAGAATACATTTCAGTACAGAAGGAATAGGATCGCCCTGCTCGTGGAGCTTACAATCTAAAGGAAGAGGGAAGTGATACAAAAGGTGATAGCTGTGGGGGATGATCTGGCTGAGGTGATTCAAGTACTGTTCTTAGGTAGAGGTGGGGTAGGCTTCCCTGAAGAAGTGAGTTTTCAAAGATCGCCAGAGGCAGACAGGGTGGGGGCTGTCTTAGGCCATAATTCCCCCCCATTCCCTTTGAAGAGGTGTGTTACAGTTATAAATTGGGATTGTTTGGTCTGACAATACTGCATATTTGTGCTCAGAAGACATTGTGCTGTATTCATTCATCAAAGTATCTTCAGACCATGTACTAGCCTATGTTATGAACAGAATCAAAAAGCTCCAACAATGTGTACAGTACTGCAGGCATTTTATACTATCAGCTATGAAGGAGGTGCCTAATGCACAATAATAGATGTAATCTCTACTGAGCCACCTCCATACCTTAAAGCAGAATTCCAGTTTCCTTTTTAATTAAAAATACCATATCCAAGCAGGATAGAAGTGCTGGTCTACTCACAATACTCACTTCCACTATAGTTCTGTATTCCACAGAAGGTGCCATTCAGCCTACTTCCTGTGAGCCAGGCCATATGTGTGAACAGGATAAAATCCTGACTTAATCCTGTCCTGAACCTGATATAAACCTGGCATGAACCGCTGAACAACTACTGTGTCAATTAGTTATGAAACCTGAGCTTCAATTTGCACTGCACATGTGTGAATCAGCTCTTGAGGAGCACTACAGTGCCACTACTTATTTTACATTCTATAAAATCTTTCAGTGAAAAAGCTAATTTGAAGTATTTAATTTTTTTTCACATTTTGTGTCAACCTAAACTGCACAATATCAGTACTGTACTGCCATAGAGTTAAACACAGATCTTAGAAATGAATGTTTGCCAAGGTCCATATCTAATAAAAATTTTATATTGGGTCAAATCTATGGCAAGAAGGATGGGGACTGAGAACGTGCCTTGTTATAAAGCTTTTTTATTGCCTTGTTTTATATATAAAAATGAAATTGATATAACCTGGAGGACATTTAGTTTGCTGAATATCATAAAAATTTGCAATTTGTCCTTTTGGAAGTTAATGGTCTTTTTACTTTGTTGCATCTCCTCCATTCGCTTTCCAGCCACTTACTATCTACTTACTGTACATGCATGTAATCCAGCAGCAGTTGTATGCCATTGCTCTGGGCCAGCTTCCTGATGGTGACAATGGCAGAACATGTGTGCACATCGAGCATTGTCATAGCCTATGATAATCTCCTTCAGAAGTGCATATGACAGGGTAACAACACAGTAAAGAATTTGACAGGCAAGGGCAGATGGCTGTTATCCTATACCAGGAAGTGGCTAAACAAAGATTTTCAAGATCATCAGGTATTATTGTAATGAAAACTACTTTAAAATAATAATAATAATTTCAAATGACTTTTGAAACCACCATAACATGTTAAAGGTTAAATAATATTTTTTGTGACTGGGTTTACAATTACTTTAGATATATAGATTAGGATATTTTATAGTAATGAGGGGAATCTAAAAAAAAATGGTTAAAGCAGCTGTGAAGAGGAAAGATAAATCTAGCAATTTTTGTCAAACAAGGCTCCATTTAATTAATACAAATGCATTATTTGAACAAGGAACTCACTTTGGTTTGGTACAGGGACTCAGCTTCTTGACGGCTTCTGTTGGCGATCTCTTCATACTGTGCCTTGACTTCAGCAATGATGCTGTTTAGGTCTAGATCTCTGTTATTGTCCATGGTCAAGATAACTGAAGTATCTGAGGTATGACCCTGTACCTGGGCAAGTTCCTAAAAACATGGCAAGAAAAACAAGTGCATTAGTAAGGTGTCTAAGGACTGTGGTTCTATGACCCTCAAAATGTCACCATAGTTCCTTAATATATCAAGATCAGAAATCCACCATGTTAGAATGTAGAAGTAGAAGAATACCATTGGATCTTCATGTTAAAATGTCTTGATAATTGGATGTACTAGGCATTCTCTATGATAGATACACTAAAGACCATGTTATGCTTTCACCATGCTCATGGGGACTTTTGTCAATTACAGCTTTGCTATCCAGGATCTCATACCTGCTTTCATGGTAAACTGTGTATTGCATCAACCTCAGATGCTACCAAGTGACTTATTCAGACAATAAAGTATGCAGAGGTTAGCAACTTCATCATCTGTTGATGCCTGCTACCAGTGCCAGAACAAGGTCATCCAGTGCCCAGGGTGAAATGGCAAACTGTACCCCCCCCCCCCCTTACAAAAGAATCAGTGTTGTTTCAGTAAAGGAGGAGTGGGCTGGCCAATCAGTGAGTCATCAGGAGGTGTGCCAGCTGAATCCGGAACAGCCAGAAGCCTACCAATGACATTACAGTAAAACATGGCAGTGTGGGACCGAGAGGCTGGAACGGCTGGGTGGGTGGGGGCATCTTAAACATGCTAAACACACCACCAGATAAGCAGGAGTTGTTAAAAAAATAATTAACAATGTTATTAATATTATGCTGCATGAAAGGGTTAATGTACTGCCACTGGTCATTGATGAATTAGTGACCAGTGGCAATTATTTAACCCCTTTGTGCTGCATTCGTGGCACCAGTGTCAATGTTGAATAACCCCTTCGTGCTTCAGCAAAAAGGATTTATTAACATTGATATTGGTGCCACTAATGCAGCACAAAGGGGTCAATTGCCACTGGTCACTAATGCATCAGTGACCAGTGGCAGTCCATAACCCCTTCATGCTGCATAATACTAATAGCATTCTTAATGAATTGGCCACCCCCCCTCCCCCCAAAGAGTTAACCACTCCAGAAGTCAGTTTACAGGTAAAGCCACATGTCATTACACAGCCTTAGGAAGGAGGATATGCCAGCCCAAAGCCTTACTTGCAAAGTTGCACACAGTTCCTGTGCAGCCCCGCTGGAATCCCTCTCTCTTCCAGCCCACCTCCCTCCCAGCATCTGAATGATGTCACGCTGGGCCAGGACTAGAGAACATCTATGGGGTGGAGATCACTCCGCCTGACAGGGAAGTGAATGTGCATCTTCTAGTGTGCCTGGTGCAGAAGCGCACTCAGCACTAAGCTTCAGCTCTGACTTGTTTCGGCCCTGCCTGCTAGGATACTTCATTCTGTAAAAGTTGGAGAGTAGTTGTTGCCTACCTTTGTGACACAAGCTACATACAAAACTACAAAACTATTTGTGTTACACAGAGAGTTTTTTATAGTCACCTATCATTTGCAAATGGTTCACAGATCAACAAACTCTACTACCAGAAACCTAGCATTGGTATTATAAAGGGTTTGTCTTTTTCACAAAAGATCCAAGTTTAGGGGATTTGAGTATGTAACTGAGCAGATTAATTTAAAGAAATGGTGATGAAGATAAGGGTTACAGACAGAATCAATGTGCAAGGTGTTGTTAGAGTTACAGGGTGGGTCAGTGTGAAGGCTACTGTTAGAGTTACAATGAGGGTCAGATGATGGGGGCTTAAGGTATCCACCTAACACCAGAAGCTCTGCACTGAAAACTATGAGCATTGTAGGAAAATCAAAAGCTAAACAATGGCAATATATCTTTATATGTAAAGTGTGCCAGGAATTGTATAAAATATATTTGATAGCAACAACTGATAATTATCACTACATAAAAGACCCTCAAGAAGTTGATCTCATCTGCTAAAGCAACCACCTTGGATTCTAATTCCACCTTGTTTGTGTAGGGGGCAGGGGCGGACTGACCATTTGGAAACTCGGGCACTGCCCAAGGGCCCAGGGTCAGTAGGGGGCCCCATGAGATGCCCCTGGTAACTTTTTAATCAGCTTTTTTGAGATTGGGCAAGGGCACAGGGGCCCCATGATCCCCTATTGCCTGGGGACCCCATGAGTTGTCAGTCTGCCCCTGGTAGGGGGAATTCAATGGAGAACTGGGGGAACTGCAGTGGAGTAACTGCCTAAATTGGAGTTAGGCTTTAACTGTATAGCCTCAGCAGAGCTTTATTTGTCAAAGACTAGTCTCTTCAACTGTCATTTTCAATAGTATGCATGAAGTATTTAAAGCCTATTTTTAGTTAAAAAAAAATAAAATAAGCTCCACTATAGGTTGAATGAAAAATGATCTATGAATGGGGGAAGCTGACCTTTCATTCATCTACCTATCCTCCATTCATGGATTGTTTTTCATGGATAGAAGGTATAGTACAGCATTTGTGAATGGATGGAGTGGGAGAAAAGGGCAGGTATAATTTACACTCTTGATAAGTGCCAATGACAGGTCCCTCAACTTTATTAAAAACATTTGTTGCAGCAGAAAATTATGGCGGTAGAGGGGAATATTGGAGGAGGACGATTTCAACTAAAGTAGGATAGCAACAACTGATAATTACCGCTTCATATAGGGCCCTCAGGAAGTTGATCTCATCTGTCAAAGCAGCCACCTTGGATTCTAATTCCACCTTGTTTGTGTAGGCAACATCCACATCCTAAGGTAAGCAGGGAGTAATACATTATTCTATATACAAGGCACAATTATTCATAAAGTATTACATGGTATGTAATAAAATCCTTTTAAATACCTTTTTAAGTACCACAAATTCATTCTCGGCAGCTGTGCGCTTGTGAATTTCATCTTCATACCTGTTAGAAATAAATTAATGAATGTACAAATTAGCTGAGTATGATTATCTAGTATATGGAAAGCTAAAGTTGCTTGATTGCATGCAATTGAAGAGAATGCTCACTTTTGAGTCACAAAAATGTCATTCTAATATCCAATAACAGCCTTGTTTCTTGGAATGATTGCTTTTGGCTAAAAAAAAACCCAGAGGTAGTTTTTCTTCTGCATAGCATGTGTAGTTGCCTAATTTAATGTCATAAGTGAATGGAATATAATGTTTCATACATTCAAAGTGTGTCAAACAATGCAGTATATAAAAGGCCTGTATCATCATGATAAAGGCCCAGGGCTATAAATCATACCTAGAGACTTGTGTTCCTTAAATGTAGCCTTAATAATTATGCAATTGTATCACATTACATTGACTTACTTGGCTTTGAATTCTTCTACAGCATCTTGCATTTGTTTCAACTCTCCATCCAGACGTGACTTATCATTTACTAGGCTGTCCAGCTGTCTCCGCAGTGAGTTAATATAGGCTTCAAAGAGGGGTTCAATGGTATTCTTCACAGTCTTTACTCCTTGCTCTTGCAAAAGCTTCCATTTTGTTTCAAGAACCTTGTTCTGCTGTTCTAGGAATCTCACCTGAAGGGTAAAATAAAGATATATATATATTTTTCTACTGTTTATATACTAAGGAATATGATATTATGTTTTAACAGAATAAGTAGTCAAATGATCAGGCAGGGAGCAACTGTAACTTGAAGCTAACTAAACAGGTGCAAAGTTAGAAGCAACAGGTGCAAAGTTACAAAACAGTTTTTTGATGGTAAAAAGCATGTACACTGTTTCTTTGGACCAATCAGGGTAATATGTGACTGCATAGCATAGTCACTATAAGACTCTATACTTCCAGAGAGTGTATATGAGAATCACTGCAATACAATTCAGAACACAAACAGCTACTTATGCATATCTTCATAAACAGCTTTCTTGTTAGTGAAGTTCAGGGTAACTCTGGTAACTCAGGATGGATCCAGGGCCCAATGACTAAAAGGTCACCCCACTGGAAATACAGTACTCTAGTAGAAATTAGAGAGCTAATCCCCACTGTAGCAGGGTCTTCCAAAGAAGACATGTTCTATTAGGCTGCTGTACACATGCCAGTTCTGACAATGGAGGGCCTCTCACCTGCAGCTTACTTTACCAGCTACCTATGTTTAATCATGTATGGCCTATGTGAGCTGCTGAGGGAGGGAAACTGAGGAACTTATTTTTTCTGGGTGTGTCCAGAAACCCAGGGAGTTGTGGGAGATGGAGTTGATAAGGCCTAAGTCTGTATCCAAGCATTGTGAGGAAATGGTAATTTGGCTACTCTGGTATGAAGGCAATATCTAATCTCAGTAAAAGTTCTCAACAAATTCAGAATCTCATATAACTCCCTAGAAAGTTATATGTAGGTACCTTTACCTGAAACAGCAGCATGGCTGTTTATAGTGATTAAATAAGTGGCATTCAAACTTAGGAATATACTGGTTCTCATACAAAACTCTATAATGCAATGCAACATTTCACTATCAGGTGCACTACCACTGTTATTTAGAATTACAGCTTTCAGAAAATTACAACTTAACAAGAACGAGAAGTCCTAGGAGTTATAAAATACAGTGAAAATTGTCTTTGAATAGTGTACTTACCTTATCAATGAAGGATGCAAACTTGTTGTTCAGAGTCTTGATTTGTTCCCTTTCTTCTGTACGTACTTTTTGAATTTGTGGGTCAATTTCCAGATTGAGAGGAGCTAAAAGGCTCTGATTAATGGTAACTTGTTGGATCCCCCCTGGTGGGCATACAGGAAATCCAGAACTACCACCGAATCCTTGGCCAGTGCCAAATCCAGAGCCTAATCCAAAGCCTGCTCCGCCACTAGCTCCATACCCAGAACCATTTCCAAACTGAGATTGTAAACCTGTAGGAATGGAAATTTTTCTACTTCCTCCCAAGCAATAAAGACTTCTGCTACCAAAGCCACCAGAGCCAGCTTGGCCAGCACCTCCACCACTGGAGCGAGTGACAGAGACTGAGCTGAAGGAATTTCGGTTTGCCGCAGATGGAACAGAAACATTGTTAGTATTTTTCCTTGTTCCTCCAACAGAGTATGTAGCTTGGTGAGATACAGACATGGTTCTTGGTAGGTCTGTGTTTCTGAAGATGAGTTAAAAGCAATAGTAAATGGCTCAGTGGAGGCTCTAACAAAGCTTCCCCTTTTATTTGTCTCAGTATGTGGGTTTGGTCACAGGGTTGACAGTGTATCATCCTTCCTCAATAGTGGGTTTGGTATGCCTCCTAGCAATCTAAACACTGAGCTCATCTGATTAACTCACGCCTTGTACATTAAGTGTAAATAAATCTGCTTGCTAATAAAATGATTGACCATTTCAAAATTTGCTGACGACAAGAAAATACAAGAATGTTTTCATGGAGAGCTGAGTATTATAAGTTGCATCCAATATGGGCTCTCACACCAAGATAAGAAGTCTCAGCAGTATTTATTTAGCAAAACAATCTAGGCTGTTGTTTTACTAGTCTGTTATCATTGATAGCATAGTTGCATATAGTTTAAGAAAATGCAACCAAATCAAAATTAACCATTTGAGCTCCGGAAGATTTTACCTCCTTCACGACCAGAGCATTTTTTTGCTCTTTTAACTGGCAATTGCATGCAACATTGTACACAAACGAAATATTTTCATTTTTTTCACACAAATAGAGCTTTCTTTTTGTGGTATATTTTATTTTCTATTATTTAAAGGAAAAATGACTAAACATTCTGGAAAAAAAAAACAATATTATCTACTTTCTGTTATAAAAATATATCCAATTAAAAAAATCAAATTTCTTCATAAATTTAGGCCACAATGTATTCTGCTACAAGTCTTTGGTAAAATTACATAAATTATTTTGTTTGTGCGAAAGTTACAGTGTCTACAAACTATACTGGAATATACGCAGATATGATGCTATACTGGTAATGGCGTGGATCAGTGACTTGGGACTGTGATAGTGTTGTGAGCAATCTGAGCAATCTGGTGCTACCTGACGCTGGCTAGGAGGTACATTAACTGACTAACTGAAACTGACATCAATAGTGACACTAGTACAATGATCAGTGCCTATACTGTACACTGTCACTGTACTAATAACACTGGCTTGGAAGGAGTTAACATCTAGGGGCAATCAAGGGGTTAATTGTGTGCCTAACAATGTGTAATATGTGCTGCTTTTCCTCCACCACAACCTTGCTCACCCATGTATTTAGGGACCTTGCTTTGTGCACTGGTACGCAGTCATGTTGGAACAGGAAGGGGCCATCCCCAAACTGTTCCCACAATGTTGGGAGCATAAAATTGTCCAAAATGTCTTGGTATGCTGACACCTTAAGAGATCCCTTCACTGGAACTAAGGGGCCAAGCCCAACCCCTGAGAAACAACCCCACACCATAATCTCCCCTCCACCTGTAAGGGATTTCCGGCAAGACGAATCGTGACCGGAAATGCGCGATCGCGCACACGCACATGCATGGTGAAGATTGGCACCAGACGGCCTATTTAAGGAGTGTCTCTGCTCATTTTCAGTGCTGACTGGTCTTCAGCTCCTCCATGTCCTGCTTGTTTCTGTATGATTCCTTTGTTGCTGACCCAGCTTGTTCCTCACCTGACTCCGATTGCTCTCCTGATACTGGTTCCTGACTTCGGCTCTGCTCCTGACCTTGACTTTTGCTTCTGATTCTGTACTGTGCTGCCTGACTGTTGATGACCCTGGCTATTCCATGACATTGCTCCTGTGTCTCTTGTCCTCACTACCTGCCTTGCTCTGGTGCATGCCTGGCAATCTGCAAAACCTGCTCTGCCTACTACTACTGTGCCAAAATCAAAGGATCATCAGCCTTCAAAGGTTTTCATCAGCAAGAGCTGCAAACAACAACTACTGGCACTCTTGTCCCCCTGGGTCCTAGACTCCCTCTGTTCCTACTCCAGCGGGGTCAGGACTAGTGACACAAGTGAGGCCGACCTCGTCATTTCAGTCTCCCATCAGGTACGTGACACCACCAAACTTTACACTTCGCACAATGCAGTCAGACAAGTACCATTCTCCTGGCAACTGCCAAACCCAGACACATCCATCGGATTGCCAGACAGAGAAGCGTGATTTGTCACTCCAGAGAACACATCTCCACTGCTCTAGAGTCCAGTGGTGACGTGCTTTACACCACTGCATGTGATGCTTTGCATTGCACTTGGTGATGTAAGGCTTGGATGCAGCTGCTCAGCCATGAAAGCCCATTCCATGAAGCTCTCTATGCACTGTTGTTGTGCTAATCTGAAAGCCACATGAAGTTTGGAGGTCTTTAGCTATTTACTCTGCAGACAGTTGGTGGCTTCAGTGCACTGTGCACTTCAGCATGAGCTGAGCCCGCTCTGTCATTTTACATGGCCTACCACTTCATGGCTAAGTTGCTGTTGTTCCCAGTTGCCTCCACTTTGTTATAATACCACTATCAGTTGAACGTGGAATATTTGGTAGCAAGGAAATTTTACGGATGGACTTATTGCACAGGTGGCGACCTATAAGTACTATTCAATTCCCTGATTCATTCTTTCACAAATGTTTGTAGAAGCAGTCTGCATGCCTAGGTGCTGGATTTTATACACCTGTGGCCATGGAAGGTAATTGGAACACCTGAATCCAATGATTTGGAGGGATGTCCCAATACATTTAGCAATATTATATATATATATATATATATATATATATATATATATATATATTAAAATATATCTTTAGTAAAAAGCTTTTTTTGCTTGTTTAGAGTGGGGAAGGGCTAGGCAACCACAGATGAATTGAAATTCAGCTGGTTCAGCAGGGACCAGCCAAATTTTGATCCATGCATAGGCAGGCTGGCTGTACAAAAGTAAATCTCCCAATCAATGTTTGTACAGCCAGCCTGTGTTTTTTTTTCTGAATGAATCTCCCTGCTGTCAGAACAAGACAGCACAGCAAGAGTGATTCCCCCTTCCACCTCTAATGTGTGGATGGGGGAATCGGGTAATTTTTTTTGTTCAACCCCCTGGTTGAATGAAAAAAAAAAGATTAATGTATGGCCAGCTTTAGATCCACCATCAAGTATCTACTGGTGTCTATGACGCATTGGGGAGATTCCCCCTTCTATTTGTTATATGTGGTAATTTTTTACAAAAATTGAGGGGAATCCCAAACTGTTAAGAGTTGTCACTACAACAAAAGGTAAGAGTAAATCTTCAAATGGTATGCCACTATGTGGCACGTGGTATCACAGAGGAGATTTTTTCTTTGAAATAGGCGTTTGGATTTCAGATTACATGTGGCATTTATCAATTTTGGGAGCAGACTACGATATAATTTGCATTACAATTTTATTACAATATATCATGATATTTAACTGTATGTTTTATAAATTATGTACAGCACATTTGTGATTGTTTTAAATTTTATCACATATTGGGATGTTGTGCAAGTTGCTTCCGATATTGTGGTTAATTGCCCCAATCACTGAATTTGTGTGTATTTTGAAGAGAGGGGTATGATGACTGGGGTGGGGGCAGGGGAGGACTGACCATTTGGAAACTGGGGCACTGCCCGAGGGCCCGGGGTCAGTAGGGGGCCCCATGAGATGCCCCTGGTACCTTTTTCATAGGCTTTTTTGAGTTTGGGCAAGGACACAGGGGCCCCATGAATTGTCAGTCCGCCCCTGGGTGGGGGCTGAAGGCTGGAAATGGGCTTTAGGCTTCCCTTTTTTTCAATACAGTTTAAATGTTTGTTAAAGTTGAAGTTTAGCCTGCTTCTTTTTTTTTTCTTCTCTGGTTGCTCCCTTCCCCTCATCAAAACGACAGCTAACTTTTTTTTAAAAACATCATCACTGGGCTTTTGTTGATCTCTATGCAATGCAAGCAGATTGAGGATAGTAGGAGGGGCCAGCAAGGTGATGTACATGAAAGCATTGCAGCGCCCTGCCTCAACACTTCTTTAAAGCCCAACTGGGGGCAAAAAGAACGTTTCTCAATGTGGCGGGGCTGTGCCCGCACTGCATGGGTTAACTGCTTGTTTTTTCCAGGGGAAAGGAGAAAGCTGTATACTCACCCAATCTTCTGATCCACCAGCCAACGGCACTCCACCATGATCCAGCAATGGACTGTAGGTCTATGGGCGTGATGATGTCAGGAGCAGTCCACCGCAAGAGACCACTAGAACGGGGGTAAGGAGCCACAGGGATCGGTCTTGTGAAGGCAGGATCAGAGGATTAGGTACATATATCTCTGTTATCCAATCCCCTAGATTAGTGTTTCTCAATCTTTTTTCCATCAAGGCACCCTTTAAATTCATGAACAATCTTGACTCACCCTTTAAAAGTATGAAGAGTCTCAAGGCACCCCATTCTAAAATGTAGAAAAACTATTCTATTAATTTTACCTAATGCAGCAACATCCACACATGTAGGACACCCAATGTTAAAGTGGATTTATTCTTTCAAAGCAAATACACTTTTGCACACTTATAACTAGTATTCCAGTGTTTCTCTTCTCCCTCAGTTTCTCTCTATTAGTCAGCTTATTTGACCCCAGCACTGACAGAGAGGGGCAGGGTAGGGTCAAACAAGGATGCCATGCAGGTAACTGACATCCTCCTTATCAACTGATGGCATTACTGGTTGTTAAGATGCTGGCAGCTAGAAGCTTGTAATGGTGCAGAATGGAATCCTGTGGCTTTGTGTAACTAAAAGGCAGGCTTGATCCACCTGCTGGCTTGTATGTAACTTTTGGGCAGTTTTTAAGCATTTGCCAAGGCACCCATGAAGACACTTCAAGGCACCCTGGTTGAAAAAGGCTGCCCTAGACAAAAACAAACAGTTAACCCGTACAGGGTGGGCTCAGCCCCACTGCATGGCAAATTTTTCTTTTTGCACTGAATTAGGCTTTAAAGAGTTTTCAGTGCTGATGCAAGCAGTGGGATGACACTTGAAAAGAGGGAAATAAAATATCAAAATGTCTTGATAGGTGGATGTCAGTCTGCAGTGCATTTGCTTTCAGAGTGCTCTAGGTAACATGCAGACCTAATGCCCACATGTGATGCTAAGCCTCCATTATT